AAAAAAAATGCAATATTATTTTAGTAATATTTATATATTATTTAATATGTGTGCCATTTTTGTTAATATTTCTATTTAGATTCATTTCAGTTCATTTTTAGTTTTACTTTCTATATAATGAAAATGATCCAAGTGCACTTGTTTTTGTGTTTTCTGTCGAATCTGCATTAATAATGCATCTTTTTTTCATCTGCAGTACTCTATTTGTAAAGAACCTCTGATAGAGCTGTCAAACCCTGGAGCGAGTAGTTCATGGTTTTACTTAACCAGTGACGATGAGTTCATCATAAAGACTGTGCAGCACAAAGAAGCTGAATTTCTGCAGAAGCTGCTTCCAGGTTACTACATGGTGAGCCACACAATCACCACATTAACAAGGAAGAAACTGCACTATACACTGCTCATATCTCAATTCAGTTGCTCATATTTACGGTTATTATATTAATAGAGAAAAAAAACAACTACGGTTAATAATTTTACAGCACAGTTACTTTACAGTTGTTTTATGGCCCTATTTGCTGTAGAATACAGGACTACACTACATATTAAAACACATTAAAACACTAAATATTAGGCCTGTCAGTTTAAAATGTTAATAAATGAATTATATAATTATTAATTAATTTTATGTGATTATTTTTAATTATTAAATGTGCAAAAATAATGCATTTAGCTTGGCCTCCACTATTTTCTGACAATTGTACATTAAATTTACAGAATTTTTTTGATACCGATAAATGTTATTTTCTAGATTAAAAATGTATCTTGTCCTTCCTGATTGCAGAATCTGAATCAGAACCCGAGGACCCTCTTACCGAAGTTTTACGGGCTGTACTGTATTCAATGTGGCGGCGTTAATATCCGATTGGTGGTGATGAACAATATCCTGCCTCGCTCTTTGAAAATGCACTACAAATATGACTTAAAGGGCTCCACTTACAAACGCAGAGCGTCACGGAAGGAGCACGCCAAACCCTCCCCGACCTTTAAAGATCTAGACTTCCAGGAGATGCACGAAGGTCTTTATTTTGATGCAGACACGCACAACGCCTTGGTGAAGACTCTTCAGAGAGATTGTCGGGTGAGTCGTGTTGTTGATCACTGCAGAGCTCTTCAGGATTAAAAGTGGTTTGTGGTTATGATTTCCATTCATTTTATTCCACAGGTGCTGGAAAGCTTTAAAATCATGGACTACAGTTTGCTGCTGGGCATCCATGTTCTGGACAGGAAGCTGAGGGGGAGAGGCGGGATAGGGGACAGTAAGCGTCAGGGTGGGCAGAAGGTCCTGTACTCCACAGCCCGCGAGTCCATT